AACATCCAGAGAATACGCAAACAAATGGGCAATGAGGATGAGAGAGGCCTACAGAATAGCAGCTCAGAACAGCCAGCAGTCCAGTACATGAGGCAAGAGGCAGTATGACGGTCATGTGAAGTGAGTCATTCTGCAGCCCGGTGACAGGGTCTTGGTTCGTAACATGGGTGAAAGAGGAGGGCCAGGAAAGCTGAGGTCCTATTGGGAACAAACAGTACATGTTGTTAAAAAACGAGTGAACGAAAGCCCTATTTACAAAGTATGTCCTGAAACAGGTTGCAGTAAAATACGTACCCTTCACAGAAACCTCCTCCACCTTGTAAATGACTTGCCTGTGAGCATGCATGAACAGCTACAGAACAAAACATCAACCAGAGAAAGGCACAAGAGAAAGAGTCAAGCAGAAAAGCATGGACAGAGAGAACCATGCCAACACAGGGATTCGTCTGACTCTGATGATGGTGTTTCCAGAACACAATATTGGTTAAGAGTGTCCAGACCAGCTGAATCACACAAATCTCGCACCATGATTCCCTATGTACCCCAGGGACAAGCAGTGATTTCTCCATCCCCAGGAAAATCGACTCAGGAAACTACACCAACAGGATGAGCCAGACTTCAGCCTATGCTCACAGCAGAGGAGCCTGTGATGAGGAAGGAAGATCAGTCCAGTGAGCTGGAATGGACAGGTGACAATGACTATGCACAAATCGCAAAAGATGACTATGAAGAGGACACTGGAGGGGAAGATGGCTCCGCCATATGTGACACCAATGATGACCGACGACCTCAGTCCAGTCCCAATCAGCCAGGCGATCAGCACGAGAGAGGAGACCCCCAAAGACAATGACGTATGAGTCCCTTGGCCAGCCATCTTACCAGCCTCAGGGGTCAGTGAACACTATTGAACTTTGTGGGACACCAGCATTTCCACCATGGGGTATAACCTCTGTCCCAGCGATACATTACACACCCTGTCACGCACCGTACACATCACTACCTTATCCTGTCATGATTCCACTCACTGTCCATTCCTTTACATATTGACACATATACCCATACATCCATGAATAATAATAAAAAAAAGTAAAACTGTAGTTCAAGATATAATATTTGTGATGGTTTAAGTTCAAGAGTGAAAGTTTGACGCTTTCTTTAATGCCGGGAGTCATTTTCTTTGTTGGGGAGTGTGTGACCCCCACAAAGTGTGGTCACATTTATTTGGTTTAATTGTGATTTTAGTTTAGAATTTGACCCTGTTTTGACATTTTTGGAGCAATGTCATGCAGTAGCACAAATGCGCCGCTAGATGGCAGAAGGGGGACATTACGGGACCGACAGTACAACATTTCTGTGTCGAAAAAGCTCCCCGCCATTCAGATGAGAGCTACCAGTACAACAACACCGTCTCCTGTGGCTCACGCATTTCTTCTGTTAAAACAGGTTAAATGTCGCCTGTCCCTCCACCTGGGACCTGCAATATCTTCTTTGCCCTAATGTTGGCTGATAAGGCAGAAATACATCATTAAATGCCCCAGGCAACACTGTGAGCTTCACTACCTCCACTATTACAGCTATTTTTGTTTGTCCAAGGTTAGCTCACCCTGGGTTACATTTCCTTGTGGGTGGAGCGATCTTACTGTTCACGCAAAATATTTGATAATGCTCTTTATAGAAACAATTCCTGAATGTTGTTCATACTGAACAGAAACCTGGAAGCACCGTGAGGATCATGTTCTTTGATTTCTCCAGTGCTTTCAACACCATCCAGCCAGGACTTCTGTGGGACAAGCTGGAGTTATCAGGAGTGGATCACCACATGTCCAAGTGGATACTGGATTACCTCACTGGACGCCCACAGTATGTGAGGACACAGGGCTGTGTCTCTGACATGCTGGTCTGCAGTACGGGGGTCCCACAGGAAACGGTGCCAGCACAGTTCCTCTTCACCCTCTACACTGCAGACTTCACCATCAACTCCCCACCCTGCCATCTGCAAAAGTTCTCTGATGACTCTGCCATAGTCGGCCTCATCACAGGTGAGGACGACTCAGAGTACAGACAGCAGACTCAAGACTTTGTGGACTGGTGCCAGCAGAACCACCTCCTGATCAACGCTGCTAAAACTAAGGAGCTGGTTGTGGATTTCTGCAGGTGCAGATCCACCTCACTGACCCCGGTGAACATCCAGGGTGTGAACATTGAGATTGTGGACTGTTACAAGTACCTGGGTGTTCACCTGAACAATAAACTGGACTGGTCGCACAACACTGATGCACTTTACAGGAAGGGTCAGAGCAGACTCCACCTGCTGAGAAGACCGAGGTCTTTTGGAGTGCAGGGGGTGCTCCTGAAGACCTTCTTTGACTCGGTAGTGGCATCAGCCATCTTCTATGATGTTGTGTGTTGGAGCAGCAGCTTATCAGCTGAGAAGAAGCAGCTAGATAAGCTCATCAAGAAGGCCAGCTCTGTGCTTGGTTAGGGACGTGCAGTTTGAATGAAGGGATGAAGACAGATGTTGAATGTCTACGGGTAATAATGTACAAAAAAACACATGTTTAGCAATGTGGTGACCATTGGTGTCAGAAGCATTTGTAATGTCAGAGTCAGATATTCTTAATTGTCATTCGCACCTCGTGGTACATGTGGTGGAGCGAAATTATGTACACAGGGTCCCAGTTACATCCAACAATAACATGTAAAAGAAAAACGATAACATCTAAGATATGAACTAAGAAAAACATCAACTAAATATACACTAAGCACTAATGGCATAAAAAGCATTACGTCAAAAATTAGCACAAACATAAATAATGTGTGGCAGGGGGTCCTGGGGGTCCTCCCCCAGAAAATTTGGAATAAAGTAGATGCCATTTCCTGCATTCTGGTATATTTTAACAGATTGTTAAACATCTAGTTTTATCTACACAGGTAACACTTGATTCAATAAGTTCTCGACCTTGACCTCTCTATGGGACTTTAAATAACTGCTAAGTTCATGGCAAAAATCAATGCAGACGTTCCTGTTTTTAGTATTTTATATCGCTTTATAATGAAGCTGAATTTGTTTTGTTTTTAAATACAATTTCTTCCATTTACTTTTCATTTTACCGGTGTATGCTTTTTATGATTGTCTGCTGTTGTCATCTGTGTTCTTTGTTTAAAACAGGTCTCTCTTGTAAATGAGTCATTGAGGCTCAATGAGACTAACCTGTAGAAATAAAGGTTGAATTGAAATAACTATTTTAGAGTTAATGGCACAAGAAGAAGTAGCCTGACCAACAGCTCTCCTTGTGTGAATAGAGCACACTTGACTTCTCTCTCACACATTCTGGTCACAGTCTAAGAAACACAATTGTAGTCCAAGTTAACTTTTAGGGAAAAATATCACTAGCCAATATGAAAAGATAATAATAATCACAACTTCTTACTAATGGCCTAACATATGATCATCATCCATCATGTTTATTAGTAGATTAAAATACCTAATTAAAACTTCATGGTATATTGTACCCTTACCGTTACAGCTAGGGGTGCACCGATTGGCCGATCACCAATTTCTAAAAAGTCTGACCTGCCGATTCTGATTTTGGCCAATACCGATTTTGTTTCATAAGCGACACTGTCAGGTGTTATAAGGTCATAATGCATCTTCAATTTTCCAATAGTATTTTGTTGAAAAACAAATCCTTGAACAATATCTTAGAAACAATACAAACTTGTTTATGGTTGTTTTCACACCTGATAGTCTGGTAGACTTGGTTCAGTTGGGGACCAATATTCATCACATTTTGTTTACATTTGAGCTGGTGCGTTTGCATTCACACTGCACTGTGCAGTCGAGCCAACCTGTTGAACCAACCTGTTCCCCCACTCGCCTGTGGTGGCCCTGCACCAAGAACTACTGAACAAAACGACACAAAAACCTCTGAAGACATTTCTTCCTTCTTGAAATAAAAACAAAAACGGAGTGGCATCAAGTTTTAAGAGTTTTATTTTGTCATTTTTCAAAAATGGACTCAGCATGAGCAGAAGATGAGGCAGAAGACCATGGGGAATATTAACAACAAAAAAAGGTTGAATCATGTCATCTGGACTTCGTTTTTTGTTTAAAAGAAACGTTTCGCCCCTCATCCAAGAGGCTTCGTCAGTCTGAGG